GACACTAGGAAGAATTGGTTGATTGATTAGTCATTTGATTGCTTGGTAATAGGAAACAAAGAAGGAAGGTAGAAAACAGAAAAGAGAGAAGGAACTTCTAAAGGTTCATGGAAATTACTTATTTAAAGTTTATTTTCCCATTAAGCTCCCTCAGGTTTTAAATTACCTATGCTTAAATAAAAGATTAACTTTTAAAGTATTGTTACAAAATCATTAAGACTTTCATTAAACTAAAACATCAAAGTATGAAACTTTTTCTCAACCTAATCTGTATCTAGTTAGATCTATATCCCTCTGAAGGCAATGCTTTCACCTGTCTAACCCTTACCCAAAGAATTCTGCATGTTTCAGTTTACACCATGTCAAAAATTCAAACCATGTTTCTTTTCAAAACTCATTGAGTTTGGGGACACAAAATAAGGCTCTATGACTATAACACGAACCGGGTAAGATTCCCCAGTGAAATTCTCATAGAACGGGCTTTGCTAACCTCACAGAATAAGCAGGTCTATTGTTTTGATGAGGAAAAATATTTATCAGAGCAACTTTCCTGGTCTTTTTTTCACTGATGGAGTTTTAACTTTTCTTAATATTAATCCCTAATATGCTCCGGTCACCCTCCTGTGTTCTTCAAGAACACCTGCCAAGACTTGTCGTTTGGCATTCCCTACAAACAGTTGCTGTAGCCGCCTGTCTGCGCTGACCACTCTGCCTTATAGTATCTGGTTCAGCAGATCCGCTCTGAAGCCACTGCTTTGATTGTGCTTTTATTTTGAAGGCATCCGCAGGAGACAAAGACAAGGAGGTGCATTACTGATCATGTTGCCATCCCCTGATCCAAAGATGCTTGCTTAAAAGTGGTGTGTTTGGAATAAGCCTATGTATGCGTGCATGCAAGGAACCCTGGTAGCAAGATCTCTTGGCCTATTTTAGTGTAGTACACAGGTGCCTAAAGAGAGGGACTACCACTTTCATTTACGATATATTTTGCTCCATGCTCCACACTTCTCAACTTTCTCCTCCCTGGTCTCCAGGCTAGAATAACCTATATATGTTTCCATGGCTCAGGCTTCCAGCTGACAGTGACGGATGAGTAGCCCTGGTAGGATATCAGAGAATGAGAGAAGAATGAATTCTGGGTAAAAAAGGCCCAGGGTCCCTTCTGGCAAGGTTATCTTCAGATGACGGTGTCCCTTGACTAATGGTCATTGATCGTCTTCAGCCAGCAAGTCTCTTCGCAAACTTTGCTCCCACACTCAGATAATTGTTCCCTCTCTCCACCCTGTGCTGAGTGCTGGTAGTGCTGAGGTATAAACACTTGGCTGCGAATTGCAAGGTTGGTGATTCCACCTCACCAGCTTTTTGATAGAAAAAAATGAGGCCGTGCTCCTGGAAAGATTGACGGTGTCAGAAACCCCAAGAAACAGGTCCTCTGTCTTACAGCGTCTCTTAGAGTTGGAATCAACCTGACCGCAGGGGGATTTTTATGAGGTTGTCACCCGAAAAAGAGGTACTGACAGCTCCGGGGGACTGACCCCAGGTTACCACTGGCTTAGAAAATCCCAAGTCTTGGGGGGGATTCTGCCCCTCAGTGCAGTTGAGGACAGTGTAGAACCGCCCCCTGGGGTGCCCACAGCAGGCATCGTCATGGAAGCAGACTGGCACATCGCTCTCCTGAGAAGTTTCTGGTAGGTTTGAGCTACTGGCTTTGCCATTAGCACTGGAGCACTTCAGCACTTAGCCAGCAGAGCTACAAACCCTCCTAGACTGATTTTTTTTGAGTCATCTGTGGCCTCCTGATCTTGATCCTGAGATCCCGTCTCTGATGTAAAAGGTCCCCTTGAGAAACTTTGATTAAAACAAAGAAAGTAGAGTGCATGGAAATGCCCTGAGCTTTGGTTTGTCACAAGGTCTGTTGCTGCTAAAACCCTGTACGTACTGGAGAGAGAGAATGAGAAGTTAAAGGCAGTGTTAACATGGAAATGGTAGTTGATATGAGAAAATGGGATGTTGATCTGATCTCTGATCTGGAAAAGAAGTGAGACGATGTGAATTTCAAATGAACGCAAAAGCTGAGGCTGAGAGCACCTCTTTACGTGCCCCTGAGAGACTTGATCTGAGATACTGCATTCATCTCCGGGCACCTCATTCAGAGCAGAATCCAGGCAAGCTGGAAAGAGTTCATCGAGGAGTAACAGAATGATAAAGAGTGCTGGAAGACTGGCATGTGAGAAGAGATTACAAAGATGAAATCACTCTACTTTAGCTAAGTGGTGACCAAGGGGGAGGTGTCAAGCATCTACCATCATGTGAAGGTTATAAACTCCAAAGAAAGGCAGCGATTACTAGGAATCAGGGGAGCAGTGCTCTGCTTAACGAGACAAAGGAAGAAAGGAAACATTCAGATCAGATAACAGGAACATGTCCTAATGGGAAGTTATTTTTGTCTTTTAAAAAGACAAAAACAAATTATAAATCATATTGCAATAGTATATATGTAAGTGATCGATAGTCTATCTGCATATCATCTGTCTGTTTACCTCATTCATCTATCAGCCTCATATCCACCTACCTAACTTTCCATTGCTGTTAGAAATCAACTTTCCACCCTCTGGAGTAAACCGGAATTATAACAATCATTCCTATCAGTTCTGTAAGACATTACTGGGCATGTGATTTAATGGTAAACATTGCTTATTAGCAGTTGCAAATAAATGGGAGTGAGAAAGTTTGAGCAGGATTCTAAGGTCACTCAAACAGTAAATAAGGATATGAACCCACGAGTCTCTACTTATTAATATGCCTCTGCTTATAAGCCAGGTAGTTGAATTATTTTAGTGTGCTGTTTCATTTTTAATTTTTATTATTCTGTTATTCTCACGATGGTATAGATTACTTTACTAGTTTTATGAGGTATTTTGTTACTCATTCCCTTGACTCAATGAAGATATACTTCAAGTCCCTTGAGTCTGTCTGATCGTGGCCACCACATTGTCAAGGGATAGCCATTCTCATGGCCATGTCCCTGTCTTGGACAATTCAAAGGGCTGCTACTCACTCTAGCTGCACAGAGGAGGTCATGCTTGCATAGTTTCATGCCCTAGTCCTCCCGGACATGACCTTATTTGCAAATGGGGGGGTATATTCTCAGTGTACAACTACATGTCATCCAAGCAATTCAATAAGTTATAGCATACTTACCAAGTTGTCATTTGAAAGAAATTAGGCTATGAGATTTCACTTTTTAAGTGACATGCCTCGCACATCTTGTCATTTTAAAGTTAACTTAGTTTATTAATTTTAATAGTAGGATTTCAAACAGTATAGGGGCCTGTGAAGTGGAGTGAGAGAGCATCCTGGTCTCTCACACACACACACCCTCATCTTCCCCGATTAGAGCTAGCCATTGAAAAGAGGCTCTTCCATATCTTTCCAGGAATTTTCTGTGCACATATCTCAGAACACTTGTTCTTTACTTAACCTTTTATCTTATACACGTTCCACATCAGCATTCATTGTGTCACTTCATCCTTTTTCAGCAAAACTTTTGACTGTATGGGTGTATCACTCTTCAGCCGGTTCCCTGGATGGAGACTTTAAAATTATTTTATAGCTAAAGTTGTTAAAGAAACAATTTTGTTATAAACACCTTCCTTTCTATAGCTTTGAACACTTATCCAATAATGATAGGGAAAAAAGTTCTTTCTTGGACATTTCTGGCTTAAAATATGCGTGCATTTCATTTTCAGTAATTTTCTCTTTTTACCAAAAAGCCTCCCTTCAAGTGGGTTTAGCATTTACACCACAAGACTCTATACAAGCTACTCAGGCTTTAAAAATCACACCTGACTCTAAATGCTGTGGCATCAACTTCTGCTTTGAGATCAAACAATCGTAATTTTGTAAAAATGAACACTTTATCCTATAAAAATATTTGACTTATGTGCCTGCCTCCCCTTTATCTACAAGTATTTTCAGGCCTGAAACACAATATTTATATTCATTTCCAATGGTTAAATGAAAAAAAAAAAGAAGAAGAAGAAGAAGAAGGCATACTTCCAAATGCAAAATAAACCCAGTGCTGTCAGGTGCATTGTGGCCACATCAACCCCGAAGGACAGAGTGGACTGCCTTCCCGCCTTCCTAGGCTGCAATTCTTTCTGGAGATTGCCACAGCTTTCCTCCAGGTTGGCTAGTGGGTTTGAACTGGCAGCTTTTCAGTTAGCGCTTGAATGCTTTCTCCATTGCACCACTAGAGCGCCTCGACAGAACCCTTCTCTGTTTAAATGATGGACGTGACACATCCTTTGTTCTAGGCTTCGCTCAGACTGTCTTCCCCTAGAACATCCACCCCACTCTAACCCAACCCGACATGTTCCAATTCCATCCACCTTTCATGGTCTATTCCCAAGGATCTCTGCCCCGTGTAAACCATGTACTTCCCTACTGAACTCTCAACAAGCCTATTTAATTCGTTCATGGCACACATTTTACATTCTCAGTTCTGGATCAATGGTGGCATCCTAGTCTCAGGACATGTTCACCTGTATGAATGAGATCCTCCCCCTCTCCCCTTGCCTGCTCTACTGAGTGGATATAATTGAAATCACAGATGAAGTGTTGGGAAACTACATTTAATTTTCTTTCATAAGAACATTTCAAGCTTTATTTGTAACTTCAGCTGGTGATACCATATTTTTTCTTCTAAAGTTCAGCATTTCAGGCACAGTAGATGAAAAAATAATGTCAAAATCCTCATTGGGGCTGGACTCATAAACAAATCCAGTTTTAATAACTGGGGGTTGAGTCTGAAACATACTGGCGAGAGTAACATAGATGCTATCATATTAAAGGGCTTTGGAGGCAGGCTAGCATAGTTCACACGCCATCAGACCTATTTATAGAGCTGACTCCTTTTTGCAATGTCAACTGTAACATTATACTTATTTTAAACCACAGGATCTCAAATATCAGTCTCCACTGCTTGTACAGATCTCTCTTCCTTAAGATCAGAGAGCCTAATGGAGCCTTCTGAGCAACCTAATCAGATTAGCAAAGATAACTTTTTAGAAGTTCCTAATTTGTCTGATTCTCTTTCTGAAGATGAGGATGTTAAAACTACCTTCAAACCCGGTTACTCCCCTCAGCCTAGTAGACGTGGCTCTGATTCTTCTGAAGATATGTACCTGGACACCCCATCTTCAGGTCTGAGAAGAGTTTCCTTTGCTGACACCTTTGGATTCAATCTTGTATCTGTTAAAGAATTTGATTGCTGGGAATTACCAAGTTCTTCAACCAACTTTGACTTAAGGACAAGCATTTTCCACGCAGAAGAATATGTTTTCTGTCCCATGTTTGACCTGCCTTCTTCAAAAGAAGACCTTATGCAACAACTTCAAGGACAGAAAGCAATTCTGGAAGCAACAGAGTTTGCCCCTGGGTCTACAAGTATGAAAGGAATCATTCGAGTTCTGAATATTTCTTTTGAGAAGTTAGTATATGTGAGAATGTCCTTAGATGACTGGCAGACACACTATGACATCTTAGCTGAATATGTCCCTAATTCATGTGATGGGGAAACTGACCAGTTCACGTTTAAGATTTCCTTAGTCCCTCCATATCAAAAAGATGGCAGTAGAGTTGAGTTTTGTATACGTTACGAAACTTCTGTTGGAACATTTTGGTCAAATAATAATGGTGTAAATTATACTTTGGTTTGTCAAAAGAAAGAACAAGAGCCGGAACCTGTAAAACCACTGGAAGAAGCACCTAGTAGACAAATCAAAGGCTGCTTAAAGGTTAAGTCCAGGTGAGGATATATCTTACTTTTTTTTTTAACTATTCATAATATAATGCTTTTTCACTAATATAATGCTTTGTCATAAATGGTCCTTTTCAAATTGTTTTCTGCTTTCTGTATTTAAAAAAATGATGCTATGTTTCTAACAAGGCCAATGCATGTCAAACAATAGCACTGTACTGCAACCTCTTCAAATGGGAGACAATGGATATGGATATCATGTAAGGAACGGGAGGGAGCACCCTATGTCTATTATTTGTCTAATGAGCTATAAAGTGCTGAAGATCAAGTAATGAGATTTAGATTCTTCATATGTAAAACCGATGTTTGGATATTTGAATTTTATTTATTTTCAATGTTGTTGTTGTTGTTTTTAAGCGTCAGTGCTCTCCTTGGAAATACTTCTGATTCCTATAGAAACTGTGCCTCAGGGTGTATCAAGTGCTCAGACATTTGTTGACTTCTCCCCAAAGCTGCAGTACACTTCTGAATGACTAGTAAATCACAGAGATATTTTAAATGATATATGTTAAGTTAAAACGTCAGGGCTAGGCCTTTAGTGATAAACGAATGGGAAGGTGTCTTTTGCTTTTGATGTATGACATCCACATCAGATTTCATAATCTATAACCAAATTGAACATTATTGAAAACAAGTTGGTATAATTTAGTAGAAATAAGTGGAACGGAGTAAAAAAATGACCCAAATAGAAATAAAGTTATTCAGTTATGCAGATTAGGGATTTGAGCTTTGTGACCCCTCATTATTAACCTTGATCTCCTGCTAATATGGAAAATAAAAACCTGGAGCAAAACCCTCTCTGTTGTATAGAAGAAGCTAATTTCCATGACATTAGGTTAGTAGACAAACCATCCTGGAGACGATATAACCCTTCTGCGCTTCAGCATGTCCCAATAGAAAATTCCTCATTATTCCACCAGCAATAGACAAATGTTTGACTATTCTCTGGTTGGTCCATCTGAATTTTCCTTAATCCAGGATACTAGACTTTACCCAAAATAGTGGCATATGGTCAAAAGGAAATCAAGATAATCAGATTCTATGCAGAATTCAATGAGAACATCTCACACAGCACTGGGAAAAATTTCAATTTCAATGCCACCGATAATGCCTTCTGAATTTCTTAGTCCAATACATTAATGACTAAAATAGAATATAGGTAGAAGCAATGCAGTGATATGCCATGTGTCTATTTTCATTATCCTTTTAAATCATTTAAAAGATTGACTTAATTAACTTGGTGAATTATACCAAATTTCTTAGCCTACATCAAATATCTTCAGTTTTTAATTGATGCTATTAAGAAGGAGAAGATAATCACGATTTCTATGTATGCTACAATAATAATTTATATGCGTATGAAAATTTTAAGCTACATATTAGCTATACAGACAGAATACGTTCAACATTATTTGGCACAGCTAATTTATGCACAGAAACATACACATATCAAATACTTTGCAAAGGAAATAATCATCATCAAATACCTATTAAACATTTTGCCACTTGCTCTAGGTGTTACAGAAAAGCAGAACTAAGCCAGGCGTAGTGTCACAAAGCCCCCAGAAGACCTCACCTAACACACTGCCCCGGAGCCTGCTCCGGCTCAGGGAGCCTCAGTGAGGTCCCATAGAACTGCTCCGGCCCCATCAGGAGTCAAGGCTGCAAATCGTTACAACAACAACATGGCCACAGTTTCCCCGGCAAGGAGAGAGTAGATTTGAACTGCCAACATTTTGGGTAGCAACTGAGCGCTTTAACCATTGTGCCTCCAACGCTCACTATTCATAAAAGAAGTAGTGCCTAAGCTTGAGTTTTCATCGGGTTAAAGACAACAGCTTTAAATGCCAAGCAGCACACCCTGAACTACTGAATAGAGAGAGAATTCCTTTTTTAGCACACACTTGACGTGGTACCAAGAACAGAGAATGAACAACGGACTGCGCTAATCTTCTCCCTTCGTCGTGACATGACCAGAACGTCTCTGAGTGTCAGCTGGGTCTCACATACAGCTACATCTAGGTATCCATATGCGCACTTGTATTCAGAACAGTAAGCGTCAGATTCATAGCAGACACCATTCAGAGTATGATATTGCTTTGGGGAAAAACCTGAGAAGAACTAAACCACAAAATGGTCTGAAGGCCTGTAAGTTTCCTAATGAGTTATAAAAATGGAAAAAATCTCTCCTTGAAAACCACAAATACATTCTCCGCACTCCTATAACTTAAAAATGACCAACATAATTCAAACCACATTTTGAAGGGAAAAAAAAAGCATTTGCCTCTGGAGGAGGTTTTTTGTGCTGAGTTTCAGTCTGATGTGAATTTTTAGGTCTGATTTATATACCACTCAAAATGGAGTGTATAAAGGAAATCCTGACAGATCCTTAGAACAGCATATGCCATAATAGAATATTTATACAGCTTTCCTATGATATAATTTATATGCAACAGGGTTCCAAATATTTCTAAAACTCATACAAGAGAATATTATCAAATTTCTAAATGAATATTCCAGTGGAATTCACTGTGAAGAATTTGGTTAGGAGAAACTAGCACACCTTGTTCGTGTTGTTTTATAAAAAGTGCACTTGGATTAAGTAAAAATAAATTATGTTTATTTGATAATATATCTATATGCATATATATATACATATCTTCTAAAACATAACTCTCCTCACACACATAGAGAACGTAAATGAATCTTTCTTGAAGATTTGCCCAATCCATGTGTAGTATAATTGGGGTTACTTCTTCCAGAAGCTATACACAAATGAGAAATGTATGTGAATTTTTGCTTCATACATACAAGATGAGTAACAGTAATGTATAAGGCACAGTCAAAATAAAATTAGCCTATCCGAGTGTCAACTATAACATCTAACTGCAATTCCTCCTAATACCAAAGTTAATTTCCTAGTGTGGTGTCTGAGATTGTATCTTTAGAAAGTGTCAATAATCCCTTCTAATAAATACAGAGCGAGCTGTGGCAACACATTTAGCAAGGTAGGATCTCTGTTATGTCAATCACCGATTTGGGTACTAAGCTTTATCTATGGAGATTTTTTTTAAGTCACAGTTTGCAAATCATGTTGAAGTGGGCTGTGGGCTGTCTATCTTCTTTTGAGACCTGTTAGTCTATCCACTTTGGACAAAAATAGAGAGCAGTTTGTAACTCACGGGCATGTGACCGAGAGTGACCCAAAGGCATTTAATTACTCCAAAAAGCATGCATCATAAGACACTTGGTAAGTGTCATCACATCTCCGTCACTGAGGCGTGTGCTAACAAACAAACTAGGAAAACTGCTGGTTTGCCTCACAGGGGTTTTATTTAAAAAGAAATGACACTGATATGAATCACGTTGCACATAGTTAAAAAAAAATGAGCTAAAAGCAGCACTTCAAACCAATACAATCTGAATGTTAAAGTCCAAGTTTCCAGACTCAGACATACCAAAGTTTGAGTCCAAGCTCCTCAAATCCTCGCTGTGTGATACTGAGGAAGTTAAGATTGGCTGGTTTCCTCATCTGTTTATTGGGAGTCCTGGGACAGCCTCATCTATGGGATTTATATGAGATAAGGTATACCGAGTTTTCCCATGCTGTCTGGAACACTGTACGTTTTCAGTAAATGTTAACCACTCAGAGGAGCCCTCGTGGCATAGTGGGTTAGCATTGGGCTACTAACTGCAAGGTCAGAAGTTTGAAACCACCAGCTGCTCCTTGTGAGAAAGATAGGCCTTTCCACCCTCAGAAAGATTTACAGTCTAGGAAACCCACAGGGCACTTTTCCCTGCCCGAGAGGGCTGCTGTGAGTTGGAATAAACTCTACAGCAGGGAGTTGAGTGAGAATATAATATAAAAAACAAACAAACAAACAGACCAACTCTAGCATCAGATCAGAAAAATAATCTAGGAAGGCTCAACTAGCCCCAAAGTTCTGTTTTTCTTTTAGGGATCTTGACTTTTCCTCTATCTCTTGAAGGATTTTAGTCAATAAGTAAAACTCAGCAAACAGTAGTTTTTATTGAAAATGTTTCATCTCATATATGACTCATCTTAAAACTAGTAGAGATTATCGAAATGGTTAAAATGTCCACTTTTTATAGATGAAGAATAGAAGTCCAGAAGGGGTGGAAAAGAAATAAAGCCTTAATTTTGGTGTAGACTAAACATGCATATTAAACCGTAAAATATATCTGGCCTTGTGGTTAGCAGCCCAAGGTAAATCCACTATGCCACCATGGCTCCTCATAGTGGTTAACGTTACTGAGAACTCACAGCGTGCCAGACACCATGGGAAAACTCGGTACACTTTATCCCATATAAATCCCGTAGCATGAGGCCAGATGTTCAACTCCACCAGCAGCTCCATGGGAGAGAAGAAGCTGTCTGCACCGACATGGATTTTCAGCCTCAGAAAAGCCAAGGGGCAATTCTACTCTGACCTATAGGGCTACTATGAGTCAGCATTGTCTCAATGGTAGTGGGGATGGGTTACCTGTGTGGCCAAGGACACCTTCCTTTGCTTTCCATGGGCTCAGTTTATTCATCTGTAAAGTAGGGGTAATGATACAATGGTGCCAGCAGTGTAATGACTAAAGTGAAATGCGATTATCCTTTCAAAGGAGTCCTGGTGCTTGGTGAGTCACTCGTTGGTATGGTAGCCACAAGGTCAGCAGTTCAAATCCATTAGCTGCTCTGTGGTGAAACGAGGAGACTTTCTGCTCTCCTAAAGATTTACAGCGCCAGACACCCAAAGGGGCAGCTCTACTCTGGCACATGCGGTTGCTATAAGTTGGAATCCCCTCGATGGCAGTGGGTTGGGTTTAGCAGAGCGCTCAGCATGTTTCCTACACTCATCAGGTCAGTTACCATAAGTATCATCATCATTCCCAAATCTTGTGCAGCTAATTTCCTGATTCTTGGACTTGCAGTCTTTTCCCTTCATTAACTCAAGAAACCAAACTCACTGCCATAAATT